GCTAGCCGCCCGAGATCCCAGCCGGTCTTCTCGCCGCACCCTCCGCGCCTCCTCCGGCTTCCCCAACCGTGGTCTCCCTTCGCGGTCTCGGCCCCGCCCCGGCCGCTGTCCTCAGGCCTCATTGGCGCCTTATCTCCCCAGTAACCAGACCACAACAGTGAGCTGGGAGCGGAAGGACCGGTCGGCACTCCCGCAGGTAGGGACAGGGCCTCACTCCGCACAGCGGCCCGGGGTTTCCCCTTCCTCTGATTCCTTCCCCAAACAGCCCGCCTCAGAGACACCGAGAGCCTAGGGGCCCTGTGCCCCGCGCCAGAGTCAGAGTCGCGATGCAAAGCAAAGAATGTGAGAGGCTGGAGGTTGAGAGGAGTGTGGGGAGAGGTGTCCCGGTCCAACCCATTGGAGGAATGGAGACTCAGAGAGAAGGCAGAGCTGGCTCTGGGGTCACCTTCTAATTCCTAGTCCCTAATTCATTGCCCACTGCCCTCTCCTGCTCGCTGTCTGAAGGGGTCCTGTGTCGCCTCCACAGGAGTCCCACCCTCTCTGGCTAAGATGCCTTTAGGACCTTCTGCAGGGAGCACCCGCTCCGAGGATGGAAGCGAGGTCTTTCTGGAAGGAATGGGTAATTCATACCTTCTTTATTTCATTCATTCCTTTCCTCAGTTTTCCCAAGTTCCAGGTCCTGTGCTGCAGGGCCCCAGGGACAGGGAGGCCTTCCAGGAGAGCGCTTTAGTTCGGGGTGCGGGAACGGAGGTGGAGATGGGCATTTGTACGGGCCAAGCCTGGGGAGTGTGGTGGGCCAGAAAGACTTTCTGCAAGGGGACATTTGAGTGGGGCCCAGAGCTCCCCGGAATTACCAACAGGAGAAGGAAGGGAAGAGGTTCAGCAGAGAGAACAGCATGTGGCCAGAGCAGGGTTTCTCTGCACTGTTGACACATGGGGTCAGATAGTCCTTTGTTGTGGAGGCTGCCCTGTGTTATAGGATGCTTAACAGCGTCCCTGAGTTCTACCCACTACACGCCAGTAGCACCCTCTGCACCCCACCTCCACATGGTGACAATCAAAAATATCTCCAGATATTGCCAAATGTCCATGGGGGTAGAATTGCTCCAGGTTGAGAACCACTGGGTCGTGGGAGGTGGCGAGCTGGTGGAGAAGGCAGGTCATGTGGGGCCTTGAACACCAGGCTGAGGAGCTGGGATTTTGTCCTGAGGGCTCTGGAGCAGGGAAGAAGCAGGGCCCATTCTGGGTGTAGAAAGACCCTCTGGGGCTGTGAGAGGGGAGGCTGGGAGGTTGGGGAGGAGGCTGGGGTGATGGTCCAGACAGGAGAGGATGAGGCCTGAGCCTAGGAGATGGGCTGAGAAGGAGGGGGCAGGAGAATGGGATTGAGGACGGCTGGGCAGCAGGGCCGAGGGCGAGGGAGAGAGCAAGAATGCTGCTCTGATCACCTGTCCTCAGCTTTCCCAAGTTCCAGTCCCGTGCGGACCAGGAGGCCTTCCAGGAGCGCCCTCTAGTGGGTAAACAGCCGTATGCCCAAACCAACAAAGGAGTGGATTTATAGGGGGTAAAGTCTCCAGGTCAGCTTGGGGTTCCGGAAAGGGTGAAGGGATATGAAAGCTTGAGGCATTCCTAGAGGGGTGTTGGGGACTGGGTCTGCAGTTCAGTTGCAGCTTGAGAGATCCTAAGGGATCTGGGATTCCTAGGTCCTGGGGTGGAAGGGTCTGGGGTCTGGATTCCCATTGAGTCCATTGCCTAACCCCTCCCTCAGTGGACTGGGAGCTGAGCCGACTGCAGCGAAAATGCAAAGTGATGGAGGGTGAAAAGCGGGCCTATAGCAAGGAAGTCCACCAGCACATCAATAAGCAACTGTGAGTCAAGTGCCTGGGTCTCAGAGCTGGAGAGGGGGGCTGTTAAAGGGGCTGAGGGCCGGACTCTTGGGTCCGAAGAGGGGCCAGGCCCAATGTGTCCTGCCTTTAGTGATGCTGAGCTCTGCCCTTTGCTGACCTCCCCTCCACCTCCCTGCCTGGGCAGTGAGGAGATCCAGCGCCTACAGGAGGTGCGGGAAAAACTTCAGGTGCAGATCAGTGTTGCCCAGAGCCAGGTCAAGCGGCTGCGGGACAACGAGAGGCTGCAGAAAATGGGCCGCTTGCTGAAGTGCCAGGCCCAGGTACAGGCTGAGATCAAGGAGCTGCAGAAGCAGACCAGAGCCCTGGACAGGCAGGTGGGTTCTAAGACCAGACTGTGGATTTGCTCAAGGGCAAATGCCTTAACCACTTTGTGCCTTAGCTTCCTCATCTGAAAAATTGGGTTATTGAATACATACACCTGGGAGAGTGGTGCTCAGGCTCTAGTGGGAATATGGATGTTTAGTGGTGAGCACAGTCCCACATATTCAGGGGCTGGTGCAGTTAAGGGGAAAGGTTCACTTTCTGGAGTCAGTACAACGTGCATTAGAATCCTGGACCTGCCTCATCAGAAGTGTGTGACCACAGCAAGTCTTCACCTCTCTGGACCCTAGTTCCTCCATCTACAAAAAGAGGATGTTGGGAATGGAGCGGGGTCTAGACAGGTGTCTAATCCCACCTGCCTTGAGATCTTGCTATTTGACCTTGGAAACAATGTGACTTTTCTATGCCTGTGTTCTTTCAAGTTTCTATGACCCTGACCGGTGATGCACACACAGCTGCATAAACACACACATATATGTCTATCTGAAACAAAAGTGTCATCAAATCATACTTTTTTCTATGTGGGATTCATTGTTATTTATTTATTTATTAATCCTCACCTGAGGATTATGGCAATGAGTATATGAAAGGTGCTTAGCAGTGTTAGTCATTAGGGGAATGCAAATTAAAATGTGGCTAGAGCATCGGCCTGTGCACCAAAGGGTTGCGGGTTTGATTCCCGGTCAAGGGCATGTACCTGGGTTGCAAGTTCCATCCCCAGCCTAGTCAGAGCGCATGCGGGAGGCAACCAATCTATGTGTCTCTCTCACATCAATGTCTCTCTCCCCCCCCCCACTCTCTCTAAAAATCAATGGAAAAAATATCCTTGGGGGATATTTAACCAAAATAAGTAAGTAAGTAAATAAATAAATAAAATTATGAGATACTTCTACACCCCTATTAGAATGACTAAAATTAAAAAGACTGACCATACCATATGTTGGTAAGGGTGTGGAGGAACTGGAACTCTTGTACCCTGCTGGTGGGAATGGAAATGGTACAACCATTATGGAAAACAGTTTGGCAGTTCCTAAAAAACTATAGGTACACCTACTATCTGATTTAGACATTTCACTCCTAGGTATTTACCCAAGAGAAAAGAAAGCATATGTTCATACAGCAACTCATACAGGAATGCTCATAACAACTTTATTTGTAAAGTTCAAAATGGAAACAATCCAGATGTCTACCAACAGGTGAATGGATAAACAAAATGTAACTACCAGCTCTCAGGAGCTGTCCTCAGGGGCTCATTCCATTTCAGTAGTTTGGACAAAACAACCCAGTAAGTGGTTGCGTCCTCACAACCTAGAAACCATTAAAAAATAATACACATACATGGGGGAAAATCTGTATATCATTCTTCAAAACCACAGTTACTTGCCTGAAGGATGTTCATGCCCATTGGGCGCTGTCCAGCTTTTCAGATTTTGAATTCAGATTGGACAAGGCCACTCTCATTCTATGTTGATTTCTGTGCAGTACTTTTTTAAAAATTGAAAATCTTACTGGGATAATTGCAGCTTCACATGCATTTGGAAGAAATAACAGAGAGAGATCCTTTGTGCATTTTGCCCAGTTCCCCGCAATGGCAACATTTTTGGATATTTGATTTTTATCACAGCAACTACTAAACACTGTTTCACAGAGATGTGACATCATCGAGATAAATATACCACCATCTTGTGTTGGATCTGAGACCTGCCTTGAGCTCGTAGTCCCCGTGGTGTCTGACCCATGCCAATATGTTTCCCTTGGAAGTTGAAAATGGCCCTGTGGTGCCCTGTTGAGTTGCTGCAGTGCTCTGGGGCACCTTGGTGCACGTAGTCATTTCTGCGGGGCTGCTGTCACAAAGGACCACAGGCAGATGACAGAAATTGATAGTCTCACAGCTCTGGAGGCTGGAAGTTCGAGATCAAGGTGTGAGCAGCGTTGGTTCCTTCTGAGGGCTGGGAGGGAGAATCTGCTTCATGCCTCTGGCAACCTTTGGCATCCCCTGGCATGTAGAAGCATTGCCCCGATCTTTGCCTGTATGTTCACATGGCCTTCTCCCTGTCTGCATATCTGCGTGTGCACATTTCTGCTTTTTATGAAGACACCAGTCCTATTGGATGAAGGTCCACCCCCAATTTAACTTGAGCACCTCTATAAAGACCCTGTCTCCATATGAGGTCATATTCTGAGGCCTTGGGGATTAGCACTTCAACGTATAAAATCTTCCAGACACATGCAACCTATAACAGCGCACGAGTTGGGAGACACAGTCTTAAGCAATTCATTAGTTCATTTGGTCTGCACATTTTGTTGAGCACCTATTCTGTGTCAGGCACAAAAAAGACACAAATTTGCCCTCAGAGCTTCCAGTTTAGTTGGGGAGACAGCACACTCCAAATCAGTAAAGATGAATGTGGAAACGAGGACAGGTTGGAAGCTGGGCTCAGCATAGCAGACCTGGGGACTCTAATGGTGTCAGGGCTCGTTCTCACCATCGCCAGTGTCTTGCCTCCACTTTGTCCACTGGCCCATTCTCCCAGGATGCTTGGCAGGCGAAGCTCTGGAGTCCCATCTATCCAGCTCATGCACTTCCCCCCAAATGCCAGTAAAGAGCAAGGTGGCTCAGCCTGGATCACACGTCCACCTCTAGGCCAATCACTGTGGTTGCCCAAACCTGGGTCCTGTGGCTGGGGGCGGTGGCTTGTCGTGGTTGGAAACCAGGCCCACATGGAAGGTGAGGCACTGTCAGCAGATGGCTGGGGCCACAAGGATGGCAGATGGCAGCCATGCTCAGCTACTCACCCTCCCGCTCATCTCCTCCCTTGGTCTTTCAGTCTTTCCCACATTCGGCCAACAAACAGGTACTGTCCCCTTCCCTCCAGATCCAGGAGCGGGGGACCCAGGTCTCTGTCTCTGGTAAGGATGCCAGGGTTCCAGTGCTCGTTTTGGACCAGAAGGCCAGGGTCCGCAGAAGAATCAAGAACGTGGAAAACCAGCTGGACAGGGTGTGTGTGACCTCTTGGC